AAAATAATAAAAAGGACAGATCATAGTAAGATTTTAGGATTGAAATTTTTTTATCATTATGCTATTTTTGAAGAACGAGGAAAAATTGAGCATGGCATAGTTGAATCAGAATTCCTTGGTTTTATAATATTCAATGGAAAACAAAAATGGCTTGGACTTATCATATTCCGATAAGAAAATCTTCTTTTTTTTTTAATTTAAGGGTGACGTACTATGGTTCCCGTCTATGGATACATTGAATAGCAGTGAAAAAAGTAAGTTATACCCTACACAATGAATCATCAAAAATTGTGTACATCTGGATTTCTAAAGAGGCGGTTCGATCTTTATTCAAAGGAATTCAAACACATGGAATGCTTCACTATAAAATCACCCCTGAGAAGGTTAGTGCCTTTGCATATAATAATGCAAATAATAAGACATGTAAACATTTGCACCAAATGTTTCCTCAGATTTCTCACTAATACTATTTATACCAAAAATTCCGTACTTTTATATGTCATCATTAATGTTTTTTTTAATTGTTGAATTATACGCTTTATTCAGTCCAGCCAAAACATTTTAATTGGACACTTATAATTTTTGTATACTGCATAACTTTAACACAAAAAAGTCACTGTTTTAGATTCAGAATACTTGAGTACCTGGTTTTGAAAGCTTTCAAATTCGATATAAAATCATACGAAAGGCAAAAACAATTGTTAAATAAAAAGATCGACAATTTCTAGTTGTGTGAACCAAGATGGTCACAATTTTTTAATACTCATTTACATGTACCTTTCAAAAATCTTTTTATACATGAAGGATATGGCAATGTCTTACTTGATCATTGAATTATTGTACATCCTACATTTGTATAAATAGTTAGGTTGCTTAAATTGAACATAAAATTTGTTTTGATAATATATAAATTAATTTTAAAGAGTGAATAGTTAATATTTTTTTGGTCTAATTTTTGTCGGTGACTCTAAACATTGATTTTGTTTTATAATTTACAAAAGATAGAATTTCAGAAAGAGCATTCCGTAGAGATAGTAAATCAATTAAAAATATGATATGTGTGCCAATACGTATCATCACGAATACCTCGCAGTGATCTAACTTATTACCGCTCTTTTGCGGAGGAGTCGTAAAAGCCTCAAATCTTGCGAGATTACTGGGGGCTCATGGCATTGTTTATAATTGTGACAATCGAATGATTTGATCAATTTTATGCCGAAAGTACAATGTTTTGTTAAGAACTGTACTCCAAATAGTACATTGTCAAATAAGGAAAGGCTACAATATTTTATCAGCTTTAAAATGTGACAATTTTCAATGAAAATTTAATGAGAAGAGTCCACTTAGTTAAAAATATCGTTAAAAGTGTAACATTTTAGGATTGGCTCCTCTCAAAAATTAATAAGGCTGGTTCAGTGATTGTTTAGCAATGTATCCATCAGGTTTTTTTTATTACTTTTCTGTCCTTATAAATTCGAAAATTATCGATCTTGTATTGTATTCAATAGCACATTTGTCCCCACCCAACAGACATTTCTTACCTACACCGCGAAAGAGTTCCGCTAAGTTAAGTAATCGCGATATCAAGTATTATCCTGCAACTACCCTTTGCATTGACCTAATAAAGGTAACCTAATAAACCAAAGCTTTATCCGGTCACTGCCCTAATAAAGCCTCGTGCATGTATTCCGACGTTCTAAACGCATTGTGACGTCATGTATATTGCAATGTTTACGCCATGGCGTCATAGTTTCAACTGCAGAGATGTGCCTAAATCTGTCGAAAGTAGCAAGTTTTGGACGTTAAAAAGTAACAAAATATGTTGCAGGATAAACAAAATACATGTTAACTGTCTTGAAATATAAGCGATATCTGGGCTCGGGTCGAAAACGTAAGAGGGCTCGGCAAGCCTCGCCCTCTATCACGTTTTCTTACCCTCGCCCAAATATCGCTTATATTTCAAGACAGTAACCATGTATTTTATATTTATATTACTTTTAACAGATAAAATGAATTCAGAAGCAAGGGTATCCGAATAATCTTTAAAGGAATACGTGTGCTTTTGGACAGAAGTGATCGAAAAACTCAGAAACCAAGACATTTGTACATATGTACATTTGTAATAAAAGAATTAACGCTATGAACTACTTATACTCAAACCACCAATGATAAAACCTTTCTCTGTTCAATGATTTATGGCATATAACTTTTGTAATTCCTAATCATAATTTATCTAGTGGTGTTCACTTACACTTGAAATAATGAACAGAGATAGTATATACGAAGAATGCTTCTTTGGCAAGGACAGAATGGAAGACAAACATACCGATTGGAAATTTTTTTATATCAAATATAAACGTCTTTTTATATCTTACATTTTATCTTTATTCTGAAAAATAAAGGTCAAATGCTTTCATAAAAGAATTTAATTATAAGGTCAATGTATCATTAGACACTCAAAATTTATCAAAAGTTTTGGACTTTTACATAAAAAGGCATTGTGGGCAAGTTGAAACTTTTGTGAGTTTTGAAAGAAAGGTGCATCAAAACAAAAGTTTTTTTTTTTACTTTAAGAAAAAAATGATCAATGCAAGTAGTTTTTTTTATCAGCTTTCCAAAGACAATCCTGGACTAAATACTTTTTGCGCAGAGAAAGTTTGTGTCGGGCGTCTTGTACCAGAGGTTCGTTATTTATTTATTTACAGAGAAAGTTTGTGTCGTACGTCTTGTATCAGAGGTTCGTTATTTACTTATTTACAGAGAAAGTTTGTGTCGGGCGTCTTGTACCAGAGGTTAGTTATTTACTTATTTACAGAGAAAGTTTGTGTCGGGCGTCTTGTACCAGCTGAGGTTTGTTATTTACTTATTTACAGAGAAAGTTTGTGTCGGACGTCTTGTACCAGAGGTTTCTTGTTAACTTATTTACAGAGAAAGTTTGTGTCGGGCGTCTTGTATCAGAGGTTTGTTATTTACTTATTTACAGAGAAAGTTTGTGTCGGGCGTCTTGTACCAGAGGTTTGTTATTTACTTATTTACAGAGAAAGTTTGTGTCGGGCGTCTTGTGCCAGAGGTTTGTTATTTACTTATTTACAGAGAAAGTTTGTGTCGGACGTCTTGTACCAGAGGTTTCTTGTTAACTTATTTACAGAGAAAGTTTGTGTCGGACGTCTTGTATCAGAGGTTTGTTATTTACTTATTTACAGAGAAAGTTTGTGTCGGGCGTCTTGTACCAGAGGTTTATTGTTTACTTATTTACAGAGAAGGTTTGTGTCGGGAGTCTTGTACCAGAGGTTTGTTATTTACTTATTTACAGAGAAAGTTTGTGTCGGACGTCTCGTACCAGAGGTTTGTTATTTACTTATTTACAGAGAAAGTTTGTGTCGGGCGTCTTGTACCAGAGGTTTGTTACATGAATTTACTTTATCGCTCTTTTCAGAGAATCATTAACCCTCAGTTTACACTTATTTGATAAATGTTTTCGATATTGATTTTTCTTCTGAAAGCTCGAAGAGAAATATCCGAATCAATATATGGACTTGGACATCTACAGTTTGGAGACGCCAAATGTGACGTTTGAGAAGAATTTGGCGGTGATAAAATTCTATACAGTAATGTTTGCATACATCCGGAATCCAGAAAGCAACATTTCTACACTGATTGCTAAACTTGATGGAGTAAGTTATATGTATCCAGGACAGGTTTCAAAAATAGATAAAAGTGCAAATATTTCGTTTTAGAAACAATAGGTAGATTATTTTCAAAACTCCCACTTACATTACTTAAACTGATGAGCATTCGATAGTCTCAGAAAATGACTTAGAGTATAATTTTTTTGAAATTTTCATGCAAATATATGGTCTATATCCAGTACGTGTTTTTTTGGTAATTAAAACTGATTCTTTTGCAGAATGCTGATATGCGAATCAGAGTCTTTATGACCAAATCAATTTTTCAGGGGAAAATAGTTGCGTTTGAGTAAGTGTTTATTTAACAGATACTAACAGACTGACCAGGAGCTTTGTAAAGAAATAACATAATTATTACAATTGAGTAGCGAAACTCATTTATAGGAAATACAAAGGCAACGTGCGCTTTGTTGGATATGACAACAAGACTGCTTGCCTGAAACTTTTGGGTCGGTGGATACAGTTTTGTTAAAAGTGCGGCAAAAGGCAATTTACCCTAAAACACAGTCAATGATTTCGTTAAAATTGTTTTTTTTTTCAATATCTTACACTGACATTCGCATATATCTTACTGAGCAATTCATATATTTATTTTGGACCAGCCAGGAAAAACAAAACTTGACATGATTGAATCTTGATATAAATTAATGTATGATAAAAGCTTAAACAATGCCCCTGATGCCGTTTTGCAGTCCTATTTAACACGAGCAAAAACATATCGAAAATTTTCAAACTTGAAACTTGCACCAAACTGAAAAGCAATATCCACTACTTAAAGCTTTCTGCAAAAAGTTGAGTATATACATATACATGTAAAACTAATTATAAACTTGACCTCAAACTTATATTACCTAAATATATATTTTTGTTGTCTTTTTGTTTTTACAGGCCATATCTAAAAAATGTGGAGTCAACTGTCCACGGTTTTGATGTAAGTTTATAATCTGGAATAGATGGTGATAATGTTTGTTATATTACTTTTTAAACAGTCTATTGTTCTGGCTTTCGCATACTATAAAAACAGGAAATGAAAATATGGTGAAAATACATTGTCTACTACAAAGTTATTCTGAACCGAAATCTTACAAAATTTCCGCATCCTGAATGCGACCGTTCCTGTTCTTTTCCCGATTTTATGCATTTTTTTGAATATAAGAAAATCTACAAGTGCGTACTCTTATTCCATTTCTATAAAGTATAATTATTGATGCGATGGTGAAATATGTGTAGCTTTGACGGAAAACAAAATTCAGATTTAGATTTTCTTTGCTTAGTATAGAAGCTGTATGTTGGTTTTACATGATATGATATTAAAATATAGTGATACGTTGCCATACGTTGCTAAATAAGAGGTTTATAATTCAAAGTTATGTAAATAAGCCCATATGTTGTTTTGTTGCAATATCTAAGTAATGCAGGCAACGTCATTCGAGTTAATGTGTACATATGAACACGTTTAGGGTGCAAAACACAGTTTTATGTATGATTATCAGGATGATTATCAGGATGTTACTTGGTGAGGGACAAGCAAAACTGACCCCTATAAAAAATAAAATGGAGGCTTGTTACATAGACTTCTGCATATCAATTGAAAGATAAAATTGTGAAGTTTGTAAATATCTAACTCATCAATTACTACTAGGGGGTATTTGACACCTGAAATATGGGGGATATTGGGTTGTTTATGCATCCATTTTCAGTGCACCTATGCATTTTTAACCCCCCTGCTCAACAAAAACAGAAAAAATCTGATAAAATAAGTTATGTGCGTTTCACAGAACAAGTCCTCAGGTTTTCTTTAAGTGTGCTTTTAGGGTACATTTTCCACCTCTTGAAAGAGCTACATTCCTGCTAATTGACTCTGCACATGTGAAAACAGGATGTTTTGGGAGTTATCTCCCCCTATTAAAAAATCTCACAATTTTTTTTCTAAAAATGAATGCACACTTTTTTCTTTAAATATTAAGTTAGACTCTACTTTATGTGAATAAAAACAAAAAAGATGCAGCTTTCATCTAAACTCCTATAAATAGCAGGAAAATCCCTACCCAGCATGCTTCTCTCTGGGAAAAACCCCCTGGATTTTATACGAAACTGTGTTTAGCTACCTTATGTGATTAACGACATTTTTGTGTATCAAAATGTTTATGTGATTATCTTCATTGTGACGTCATAATACGTTGTTTTTTGTTGAGTTGCTATGCATTTCAATAAACACGAACACGACTGATGAAGGCCGGTGACACGGTTCATTTCAAATATTTCAAAAAGTGTTTGAAAGTTTTTTTTATTCTAATGACAAAAAGAGACTTTGGATTAACTACATAATATATTTCTTTCATAAACATTCGATATAAATCTTTATCATATACCCAGCTGCATTTCACTTAGTTTTACTGTTAAATTTCTTCAATCACGTGAAGTTCCAGATTACCACACTGTGGTTTTAATCAACAATATCGGAAACTGATGATGTAGTAAACAGTTTTTGTGACACTCTTACTTGAGTATCAAAATTTTTCTCGAAAGACTGCTTTAATTTGTTAAATAACTTATATATATTTTATATATCTATAGTTGCTAATTGTAGTAGGGCATTAAAACGGTACATGTAATGAAGGGACACAGGTCTTTCTTTTCTTTTTCAATCAACAGTTTTCCCAGGAAAAGTTTGTGTTTTATAAGAGAAAAAATATCTTAAGGTAGTCCGATTCTTAGGTTATAAAATTAGCAGTCAAGAAATCAAAAACACTCCTAAAAGTATTTCTGAATCCACAAAGTTATGTAAATTTATCCACAACATTTCTTTTAAGCTAAAGATTAAAGTCCATCATATTATAAAGGGAAAGTTGTCAAATTTCCACTATTTTTCCAAAAAAAGGGAATGGTTATTTCAGCAATGCATTTCATAATTACAAATTGATCAACAAATATATCTTAGGTTAAAAAACGATAGGTATCCAGGCATTCAGGAAAACTGTCATGATTTTTATACTTATTGGGTATTTGCTTGTCTTCTATTTCCGTCATGTATTGTAGAATACATAGTGTAAAAGGATTTTGCTATCATTGCAAGAAACCACAAATCACTTCTTAAATTCATATCATGCTAATAAGCATTGGTATCTTAGGCTGAGTTCAAGAAAATCTTATTTCTCTAAAACTGTATTTTTCCTTTTATAGGGTACAAATGTCAACTTTAATAAGACCTTTTGTAAGACTTCTTAAAACCTTGAATCTTATAAAGATGAACAAAATAAAAATTATTGCATGAAAAAAAATCATTTTCAAGCTTTATTTTGATGCATTTAAATCAAATATTAATTTTTGAGGATCTGATATCCTTAAAACTGCTTCAAATTCCTAATAAGATGAAATTCAGATTTTATCAAATCATATCCTTTGTATGATTTTCATTTAAATACTTTAGATGCAGACGGTAAATTTTATACTAATGAGTGCAGTGGTGACAACGGTAGAACCAGCCCTTAACGGTAGATTATGATTTTATAATTATTGAAATAAATTTTAAACCTTTTACTTTGTTAATATGGTAGGTTAAACCTAAAATGATTTTGAAAATGTCCCATTTGAATGTTATAGAGCTCGGGAGAAAAGGAATGCCGTTACCACTTACACCTAAAATACAGTTGGAAAACAGTACTGTTCATTTAATTGAGGTAAAGTTATATCCTTCAGACATTGTTCATGGAAGACACATTATATACATGTATCCACTCAGGTAAAATACATTCTTCATGAAACTAGAATGATAAAAGTAAAAAGAAACAGTTCATGAAATAAAAACAGTTACTGTCAGAGTTCAAGATTCTTCAATCAGAAAGAAAATATTCTAAGACTAATAATATGAAGTCATCATGTTAATAGGAATATGGTACATTAATTAATTCAGATATAATTTATGTGTTTACATGTATGACTATTATGAGGTATGTAAACATACATTTGTAAGATGAGAATAGAAGAAAATATTTGCACTTTTTAGCGGAGGGGGTGGGTCGGTATTGAATTGATTGGATTGATGAAATATTTTCTTCCTTTATAAGACATTGATCTACATTTCCCAGGCAAAATTTTGTAAAGCCATATCCATGCATTGAACAATATATATATATATATATATATATATATATATCTTTTACACATATACATGTACATTTGAAATTTATAAATATTCATTAGTGCTACTTACTTTTCTTTTCTTATGTTATGTTTCAGAATGCTATTGTCATAGGGAGCGACGGAACATATAACAGAACAGAAGATTAGATCATTCTTCAGATCAATTGGAATATTCATTGGAGCATTGTTAATCCACACACCTCATGTCTTGAATACAAGCGTCCAGTAAAATACCGTATAAGTAGAAATTTTAGCGAGGATTTAATTTTGGCATTATAAGCGAGGTTGCCGAGATCGTAAAATTGAATATCGCTAAAAATTAATTGCAATTTATTTGTTTTAGCTTCTTTAATGTACATTTTAAAATCGCTGAATTAACATCTCGCTAAAAATAAATTACCAGTTTTTAAGGACAAATCGCTAAATTTGCGTCTCGCTAAAATTTCCACTTATACGGTAATCTTCGAAAGAAACGAATTCAAAAGTCTCTTTAAAACCTGTAATGTATATTTAAAGAAAATAAAACAAAAGAAATTATTCATGTTGATTATTTTATTTTTGTAGTAAATAGAATTTATTTTTTTAATTTTTAAAAATATGCAAATATTACTCATACATGTATTGCTAAAAAAAAGGATGGGAATTCTCTTTTTAAAACAGTGTTCTAATCTCAGCAGCGATTGACATTACTTGATGAAAAAAGGAGCAAGGGTTTTCTTCCCGCATGCACTCGATGGTTTGAAGTGAAAGTTGTTTCTTTGGATGAGATTTTGAAAAATGTCCTTTGTCACGACAGGCGTTTATGTGATAAAGATCGCTCCTAACTCAAATATAGTCATACCTATAATGGTAACGAAAGACCGAAATTTGAATCCCTTTTCTGGTACATTATGACTTCTCAAAATGAGTGAAAAGTTATAGAATAAAACGTAATACAGATCACAATCAATTTTCGATGTGTTGCCACAATAAATGACCAGAATTTGGTGAGCTACTTTTTTTGATTTGTATCACAGTCAAGACAAAACTACAATTTTTATTGTTTTAAATCCCAACAATATTTTATATATTGGTAAATATCCATTATTTTTTAACACACCGTGTTCTTAGGCAAAGTATGTTTCCGAAAAGAGTGACTACAGGAGAAAAAAATTACAGTGAGTTTGGAGTATGTTTGGAGTACAAATCTCATTATGGTTGACCATTTCTTAAGAAACCATATACAAGTACACTTAAATTGTAAAATCCCATAGACTAGAGAATGCAGATATTTTTTCTGTGAAAACTTTAACACATGTATACACTTGCATTAACCAAAAATACATTTATTTCTAACATGCGAATTCGGGTACAGATTGATAAGTGTGTAAAAAGCATCATGATCAATTACTTCAACAAGTCCGTTTTATCTTTGAAGAGAGAGATAGAGCAGGAGAGAGAAAGAGAGAGTAGCAAAATAGTATGTAGCATAAATTTTATTAAATGAGATAGGAACGAATCCATTGTAGACCTTCTGGTCAATGTTCCAAAGGAAGAGTATATATCCAGCTTTCTTCTTTCTTACAATTATATCATTTATTAGAATTATATAATAATAATGCATAATGATATTATAATTAATTGTGTTTATTTTGATCCAAGTAGGTACATTGAACACCGATCTCACAAAAAGATTAGAAATGCAAAGTTTATATTTTACCATGAGACACACGAATCAAGGATCTGACCAAAAAGTAAAATAGGAATTTTTAACGGCACACTGTCATAAAGATTCCGTGAAAGTATCATTGTATTTATACAGTAGTATAGATGGAGATTTGGATAAGAGAAGGGTATCACTTAATATATGCTAAAAAATGGCTATGTAAGCATTTTACTTATGAAAACTCGAAATATGTGCTTGATCAAAAAGAAGAGAAATAATGTAAAATAGGAGGCTAATTTCTTTTAATAAAATCTATTCACCGACGAGACGAAATACTGATACACAACAGTTGAAGTTTTGCCAAATGTTGTGAACACTTGCTGCATAGTTACATGTAAGCCAATGGATGAGATGACCTCAGAGAAAAAAATAAAACTGACTGAAAGGCAAAAGTAATGGTCAACATTGGGCTTCTTGTTAAGAAAACAGACATTCTTAACTTAAATACGAGTTGCAAAATTTACTTAAGCAGATTGTCCATTATAATTGTCTTCTTGGCAATAACAATATATCTCGTCTTTACGGTAATTTGTACTGACTAATGAGTATGAAAATGCCAATAAATGAGCAAATGTACGGAATAATTAAACAGAAAAAAATCAGTTTTAAAAAATATATACACATATTACGAGAATTCATAATCTGATAATCTTTGAATGGATACTTGACAAATGCAGTTAGTTATTGTGATGCATAAAAAGAAAAAAAATCGGTTTACTCGTTTTTGGGAAACTCAACAATATAAAATTTAGGTCATTAGTTGCAATTATTTTTAAGTTTGCTATTTTTGATTTTGGATTATAATTTCTGTTTCCTTTCAAGGTTCCGTTTAATATCCTTTTCAAAGGCCTGCGTCACTATTTGCTAAATAAATTTATTTACATGACTTAATTTTTCGTTGAATTAACAATGGAAATTTTATCTATAAATTCTGTTGTGGTTTTAATTCTTCATTTATTCTTCAGCATTGCATGTCAAAGGTAAGTATTCATACAGATGTCCAGGTGTTCTGCATTAAATAAAGACTCCATTTTTTGTGCTTCCTTCGAAAATATCAATTTATTTTAATGTTTATTTTTATTTTAATAGTGGCAATGAAGAAGGAATTTGCACATGCTCCGGATATTTTTACGACAAGAATTTGAAGGCATGTAAAGGTATTTAATTTAGCAGGTAGTCATTTATAAAACATAAATTTTGTAAATTGGGGAAATATTGTTGTATAATTGTTATTCATTTCTTTGTTTCATTTTCTCACAAAGAGTGTCTGCCTGGATATATGGGTCAGACTTGCTCACGAACATGTCGTTACCCTGGATTTGGTAAACAATGTCAACATGAATGCTTTTGTGGGGCAGAACACTGCGACTTTCGAAATGGCTGTTTAAATAACTCTATTGGTAAATTTGATAGATGATCACAATTTTGATTTAAATTAAATTTCATTTTAAATTTATTTTAATTTAGTTATGTTATCGATTTTTCCTTAGCATAAAATGTTATTTCTATTTCTTTTCCCATAATATATCTTTATATCTAATGAATTACAACAATTTTACTGTTGATTTATCTTTTTTTTTTATTCAGTTCAAAGGTTTAAGATTTTTATCGTAGAAATAAAATTCCGGATGTTCAGATATTCACTTATATGTCTAGTATACAACATGCACAACAGTTTATTATGATTTAATTTTAACTATCTTTGCAGTGAATGCAACCAATTTGAAGAAGAAAAACTTTTCATCTTACTTCAAAATAAGTATCATGGGATCAATATCCATTATAACGACAATAATAATAGCGATAGCATTTGTTTTCTTTCTATTTTTGCTTTTAACACGAATTCTAATTCTCCATCTAAAGAACAAAAACACTCTAAGTGAACCGAATGCTGCAGCTTCTGTCCTTGTGGAAAATGAATGGTACAATATGGACGTCCAGCGTTCTTCAGATTTACCCCCACAGATTCTAACAAAGGTAGATGGACAACCTTTCATTGAGGACTTGCATACAACTGACAAGCAAATTGGAAATTGCGGAGAGAGAAATTCGGAGAAAAAGACAACCGATGTTCTGGGAAACGATTTCGATAATACAGACACAAGGGATGGAGATAATGTGTATATGTTTACATTTGCATCTTTTGGAAGTGAGATAATGGGGAATTCAGTTCACGCATATTCTACACTTCAGAACAGCTAAATTTGCCCTTTTATTTATTAAACAACTTTTATCTACAAATAGCTTACTATTTGTACAAAAGAAAAAGACTTTTAAGTTCAAAACATTTCACTGATTGATAAATAGACGAGATTTTTTCACTGCAAAATATGTCATATTTGAATCAACGAAAAATATTGATTGGTAATGTATGGTTGTAAATTTATAGATCAAATGTATTTTGAACACAGAGTTACATGTAATTTAAAATAAAAGATTGAGTGGTTCTTAGTTAATTTAGTTGTCAAAAAAGGACACCAATAATATGTGCCTTATATTGAAGTTTACTGTAGAAACACTTTGATAATATCTTCATGAAACAAAAAATAGTTTCCAAAAAATTGACCCATGTGCCTGTAACAGAAATTTTCTTCCGCTTATTTGTTTGTTATTTTGATTCATCAATCATCATTGTCAACTTCATGTTCTTCTCCATCCATGCGTTAGTTTTATATAAAATGCTAATGATAAGTCTTTCACTAACTGTTTCTGCAAGACATTTTTAATATATATGAACCTACAGCATGGATGGGAAATGGGTTTAGCTTTTGTTCCATTCCACATGAACACTTCTTTTCAATACAGATAAACACTTCCTCTTTGGAACTCAGGCTACGCTGTGAGGGATTTACAAAGAAGGTGTGACGCAATTTATGCCCGAAATGTTTTCTGAGTTAAATCATACACATAAGAGAGTAAATTGCAAATAAGATGATTAATATTTTATTTTTTTTTATAGCTATTAAATACAATTACTTCCTTTACAGTTATAGCTACATGTTAGTACCAATCATAATTCCAAAATAAAAAATATTGAACTTCTTGGAGACCAAGATAACCTCTGCCTGAAGAAAATATGATGTTTCTTATCACTGGCAAAGGCATATGAAAGTAATACATTTTTCAAAGTTTAGAAAATAAAAGAAAAAACAATCCTTTATAACCTTTTCTTATATAAAATGTATCTCCTCCGGCTCAAAGACCTCGCTGACACAAAATTTAACTGAGAGCAGAAAAGAAGTGTGTTTGGTATATATTAAATCGAGGCTGACTCCTTCGGAGTGAATCACACTCGGGAAGAAATCCTTGTAACGCTGGCTTGAAATGTTTCGCTGCCATAATATATACTGTTAATTACGAAATATTTTTTTTTATCTACAAAAGCTATAATATCCCTTTAAAGAAAGCTTCCAGCTTCAAAAAATCGTGTCTTTTTATAATAAGTTTCCAATAACAAGAAACATTCAGTAACTATTACAATTGCTACATGTACATCTCCTAGACAGGCACTTGATCTCATCTCAAGAATTTTCTTGGGGACTGAGGTTCATGCCCTCTTAGATCTAACATGTTTAGCATTGCGTAATAGTATTCATATATATTTTAGATCGATCATTGCTCGTAATCTTAACCTCTTATATTTACTCTGTATTTTCCAGCGGTTTGATGGAGAAATAAAATTCAAGCCAGATGGGTTTCAAAATTGCTAATTTGCATATTCAAAATTATTTGAATATCCAACATCGCTTGTTCTTAACAAAATAAATAAGCGTCTTACAAATTGTCATAATGCATGCACTTTCAGTTATCTTCGAAAAACCCGACGAATAAAGCAGAATTTTAGGTAGATTAATAGTTTCCATGCTTTGTTTTAATTGGGGTTTAGACAAGAAAGAATTTTAATTATAACTTGTAGGTTGCCAAATCAGAACACTATAGAGAGACAAAGAAGTATGCTTGAAATAAATGTCCTCTCCCTCATAGTTGAGCATTCAACATTATAATATCGCCTAAATGCATTTTGTGGTGTCAATCCAAAAGCAATTATTGTAGGAAATATCTTTAAAAGTTTTAAATAAATGTTATGATTTTGTGATAATATACTGAAACATTATGGATCATGACAATATGCACACTTAAAATTGTATCCATCCCAAGTGAACTTTAAGAGTTAATTACATCAAGTCATTGACTTCACAGATCTTTAAGAAAAAAACAAAATATGTAAAACATCAATAGACTTACTACCTTTTTGAACATAAAATATATGGAAAGGAATTTTTTCTTCTTCTATTATCTTTAAAATTGATAAATTATATCATATGACTTTATTCTTCAAAGAAAGGAATTGAAATTGGAAAATGACATTGACTTTTTTATTTTTTTTCATGTAGTTTATTTCTATTTTATTTTCTTCTGATTTAATGTCCATGCAGCGCCGGTTTACTCGACGATGGATGGCGCGTCAATTTAGATACTGTTATATAAGTATGTAAAAACGTATTATTTTCCTATGCATGTTATCTCTTTCCAATTTTACCTGCTTTTTACATATGCTGTACTTTTTCTTAACATTATATCTTAACCCTGAAAAGATATTTGTGTGAAACTATGTTCTGATCGTTAATGAAAATTAAAGTTTATATAGAGCGCTCTCAATTTGAATCCGCTAACTTTTTTTACAATTCAAATATAGTCGACTGCGAGACGCAGTGATTAGTCTAAGAGCGTCTGCTTTAGAATCGCGGAGTAAGGACTTAATCCTTACGTTTGAATTCCAACTTGAGACATGGAGACCACCCCTTCTGAAGAGACTGTATAAACCGAGGTTCCTAGTCGTAATAGGTGCTGGCATGAAAATCCCTGTTCATTTGCTCTGAGTGTAGAATATAGAAAAATACTTGCAGCTCTCAACCGCAAGTGGTGGCGTCTCCATAAAAATGAAAAATAAGGGGACGGGATTAAAATTCATCATAATGTCACTATCTTATTGTAAAACATGTTTATTATCAAAAATCACAAGTTTAAAGAAAGCTCGACAAGACCAGGTGTATTTTAAGTTCCTTTTTAAAACAAAAGAGTTAAGCACGTTCTCTAAGTTTAAAAAGCAGAGAGTTCAAGAGACTCGATTCTAAAATCTATGTACAGCAATACTTGTTATTCGTAATCAATAGTTACGAGAGGTAACATTACTTTTGGTGTCATCGGCTTTTATATTATAGAGGAAATAAATACTTTCTCTTTTTCAAACAACTTTTATAATATTGAACTTTCACGAGATGAAATTAAAGCCTGCTATATGATTGAATTCTTTTGAATCAGCTGTTGTCTAATTGATCCTTAACACATCCTTATTTGGAAGTAAATTTCCAGAATTTGTTTCTTAAAGTCACGTGATCTAATTAAATTTAAAAAAACCATATAAAAGTTTTGTTGATTTACATTATTTTGCAAATGCTTTTTTAAATTACGCTTATGAAGTTTAGCGTTTAGATCAGAAATGAACGCATATCTAACAAAATTATGTCTAGCTTATTTAATTGTTTTGTGTCATATTTATAAAGTGAGCGGTCGTTGCCAACCGTACGTAATGAAAATTTATATTATTAGGATACTTAGAAGTTTAAAATGATAAAAGAAACATCAATACTATATTTAATACCAAATGTTTCTTTTTATTATTGTTAATTTATTCCGTTTGTACATACTGGCTAAAAAAGATTACGCCCATTACTTGTGCTACAAAAATGATTTTTTTTATTTGCAGGAACAATGAAAAAATGTGCTGTTTCGGATACTTTTTCGATGGGATGTCGAATGAATGCAAAGGTATGAAAAATTACAGAATAATTCATAAAATGTTTATCTGATACAGCAAATCAAAAGACAATCCTAGCAAAATCCTCTAGATCTATTAATATTGTATTATTTAAAAAAAATTAAGAACAAAGATATCAAGAAAGGTTGAGTAATATTTGAAGTAAATTGTATCTTGTTATTTATTTGAATTACTAATGAATTAAGATAACTAAAAATGATTATATTCGCACACTTTTAGGAAAACATTTCAAATTGCATAATTCAACAAATTTCAACTTAGAAGCTCGAATAGCTAAATTTAATTTATACTGTTATGCTTTATCTTTGTATTCTTCTCACAAAATCGTAGAAAAAATATTATTTACTATATTAATCTAGATTTATCTGCGTTTTAGAATGCCCGTTGGGTTACATGGGTTTGAATTGTTCATTTCCGTGTAGATACCCAAGTTATGGTAAATCATGCCAAAACAAGTGCAACTGTCGAGAAGAATATTGTGACATTTCTACAGGATGCAAGAAGGGGAAAGGTTGGAATAAATACTGTATTGTTAAATATAACTTTTAATATATATATATATATATATATATATATATATATATATATATATATATATATATATATATATATATATATATATATATATATATATATATATATATATATATATATATATATATATATATATATATATATATATATATATATATATATATATATATATATATATATATATATATATATATATATATATATATATATATATATATCAAATTACAACATGTATATCAAACAATTAATGTTTCTCATATTTAATTTTTTTTATTTATTATCTAGTATTTTAACCTGCGTGCATATATTTTAAAATGGTATCAGTGGTCAAATAATTATTGTAACGTTCCAGAATAAACTTTCTATAATCTAGCTTAAGTTATCAGTTTCGAGTCACAGATGCATGAAAAATACTTTCATCAAGCTCTCTTTTATCTTTCTTGTAGTGCACCTTCCCATTCGAAAAGGTCTTAATGCAGTTGTTGAAGGTCGTTTGAATTCAGCCAGAAACAATGCTGATTTAAAATCCAAGCTAATCCCAAACCAAACTGCACATCCTGCTAAAGAGACAATGGATAAACCAAACAAATCAAAGTCAGAATTACAAACAACTACGATCCTCATTGGTGCCGTGGTTGCTCTTTCTTTAATACTTCTTGCCACTGGGTTAAAGTTTTCCTGGAAAAGGGTAAAGCACACCTGTCTGAGAAATAGAAGAGAAGATACCAACATGCCAAATATAAAAGTCGAGCTAAAAAGAATTACGTGTGATTATGAGGACATGAAAGAAAATTTATATGAGGATCTGGACGAAAAGGAAACTTGCGATGACAAAGAGAAAAAGAATGAAGGCAATGCTGAAAATGATTACAATGACACTCTCAAAATCATAAAGATGGGAGGGAACAAAAATGATGAACGAGAATCCAAACATTTTTATGACGCTTTGAAATGACATCATGCGTTAGAACGTATGCAGGGCAGGAAAATGTATATAGTACTCATAAATTCTTTAAATGGTTATATAACGAAGATTCTAACAAGTGCATTGGGAAAATGTGTGTCGTTAGGGGAAGAGGATGAGGCTTTTCAACATGAAAACAGTACATAATAATAATTCCAATTAATGCCTGCAAGTAAAGCTGTTTAAAATTGACACATTCATTGACCTTAACTAGAAGGGATCGAAAGAGACAATGAACATACATCAAAAACTTTGTTATTTTGATTAATTCTGACGGATTTCACGTTTTATCTGAGTTATGTTGTTAACTTTCTTCCTGAATCAAATGTTTCTCTTTGTCAAAGTCAATGAACAACCTATGTAACATGTACATTTACAAAAAAAAATCAGATTTGTAGTATCATTTTCGTTATTTCTTAATGAATCATGAAGAATAAAGTTAGGCTTAAAATGTCCTTTGATTTATAAAACAATAAATACAGAGTACATATACTACTTGAGGCAAAAGACGAAAGATGATGAAGCAAAGGACAGTCATGAGACTTTAATGAAAACAAAATACTTAGTCTACCATAATCTAGTGCAACCCTTGTATAAATCACAAAAAGCTTTGAGTTTAATTCACTTAGATTTAATTCTCATTTTGAGATAAAGTACTCTTGTACAAATATTTTATGACGGCCTTTATCATACTGATCGATAATTTTGAAATTTAGATAAAGGAAGGAAATGAATATATCGGTGAGAATACTCGACGGCGCATAGAGTATGTTTTTTATCAATACAGTTTGATTTTTCAGAATCATTTATATATATGCTTAAGATTTTGTTAAATCACATAACCATTATGAAATTAATAAATAACCAACCAATAGTATACAATTATTGCTGTTTTTTGAGGTCAATACAATGATTTAGCCATCTGAGGAGTACAATATTCACCGAGCCCGAAGGGCGAGGTGAATATTGTACTTCGAAGATGGCTAAATCATTGTATTGACCGAAAAAACAGCAATAATTGTTTTATTATATGATTCACTGATAAAATAATACAGCTCATTACTTGTTTGCATTTAATTAATTAAGTCCTAGCCAAATACAAGTGAGAAGCAGAATTAAAATGTAAATAAACCTTACCAGTCGTATCAATTTGAAATGTTTTTTTTATCAATTTTAGTTGCCATGAAAAAAATATGTATCAGGTCAGTCTTTTTTATAGGATAGATTTTGAAAGGAAGGAGTATTATCAGGAAAAATGACTGCCAAAAGTTTTTAAAAAAATTGTTGTTCAGTAAAAGTGTTGGAGGGGGGTCCCTGCATCCCCTCTTACCACCCTCACCCTAAAATATATATTCGTTTATGTTTTGTTCACATGAAAAAAAAAATCATAGTCGTTTAAATAGCTTTCCAAAACAATTTGTATCAATTTGGAATTTCCCAATCTATTTTTAGATCAATGTAGAGGAAATAAATCCTTGTATTGACCTGGAACGTCACATGCAGGTCAATACAACGTAGTATTTTTCTAACATAGTTGGATCTCAGCCAATCAGAGAGATGGAAATTATTCGATCATATAATAATGTCAATTAACAAAGTTAATATCAACATCACATGATTATATCTTTAGGGATATAAAAGAAGAACTAGTGACACTACTGGACGTGCTGAACATTTTCTGTCGGATTACAAAAAACATGTAGTATAAATCATTAATAAACACACTCACCCGCAAAGCGCAGCGGTAGAATGTTTTTCCGAGAGTAGTGGGGTAAGGAGCTAATTCTTGCGTCGCGGGTTCGAATCAAGCTATGGGACGTAGAGACCATTCCTAAGGAAGAAAGCATCCCATGTCGCAGCATAGCTCTCACAAAACCCAATGGTTCTGAATGTCAAGTATCGGTAAACATTTGCACATTTCCACCGGCAAGTAGTTGCATCTCCAACTATGTAAAATCTTCTATGGGGATTTTTAACAACAAATAAACAAACAAACGATTATGTGATCTTAACAAAACGAACGACATAATAATATTAAGTGCTTGTTTATATATGCAAATTCAGTACAATTGCGTAAATTGTAGTTTAAAAATGAAAAAGAAAATAAATGTTTAATTACGCATCTTTTGATTTATTTTAAGATGTATAATTAAATATCTTTAGGCAGTCTGTAAGATATTTTCTAAATTACGTTTCAAAATGACTTGTATATATCTTTATATTGTAGTTGATTATACATGCAATATTGACGATAGGAAGATTAAAAGATAACGAGACGATACGTGTATATTAATATTCTACTCTGTAATTGTACTATGATTTAAAATGAATTATAAATTCCATGACTATTGTACTTATACACTTTAATTATCAAAAGAATGAACTTCCTGTTTAATTAAAGCAATTGAAAAAATTGTGGCAGACACTCCTTTTTCTATAAAAAGAAAACTCAAAGATACACAGGAAATCGATGTTTGATAATTGCTCAACAAAAATGAAGCAGTCGCAGATGTCCCTATTCTTGTATATTTTTTGCATTACGTTGAAGATTGTGATTTGTTCCATTAAGAACTGTATCGGGTAAGATTTGTTTTTTTCCTTTTGTCTCACAACGTATGATATTTTAACCTTGCCTCAACTATAAAGGTATACAATATCTTCATCAATAATTCGTATATTGTTTTGTAGATATGCTCAGAGTGGAAAATGTAAAGGTTTGAATTTTCTTTTATAATGCTTGAAATATTACCTGCCTTAAACAATTATTATCAGCTACAGTTTGAAATAAAAGACATATTTCTGTTTCAATCCATCATTTTAAAAAAAGATAGTTGATAGTTTGTTTCCTATTACATATACAAAATTGTGACTCATTTGATCATACTATCATTTGTTTAGAAATATCTTAAAATCTATTTAATAAAATCAATTTTATGGTAGACAATTGAAAATGTTTTCCTTTTAGAATGCCTCCCTGGGTTCGTAGGAGAACATTGCTCACACACTTGTAGGTACCCAAGTTATGGCAAGGGATGTCAACATGTCTGCGAATGTGATCAATCAGTCTGTCACGTGGTCTCAGGCTGTTCGAAAGGTAAACGCCACAAACCTTGCAAAAAGATATTTAAAGCAATATGAGCTGCATCGTTGATGTAAGATTTTTTTTTGTTTCTAAATTGTAAATATCTATACCAATGACAGGAAAACGTTGGTAAGCTTCTAATGCTCATATTTGTGATGGAAGAACTATTTATAAGCATTGATTGAATCAACATTATATAACTGTCTTCCTGTACAATAATGATTTCTTATATAAAACTGTATTTTGGGTTGTATATAGGTCTTTCTTCTGTATTTTTTAATCAAATTGATCACTAGAGGTTTCACTTACATACAAAATTATCACAAAACACATTTTAACAGCTATATAAAATTTTCAAAATGCAGCTCATATTGCTTTAAATATTTTCATACTAGTATTGATATATATATACATCTTTTATTAAACAGAGTTTAAAAAATAGCCTACAATTATAAAGTTAAAAAGCAGACGTATTTTTTCCATTTATGAGTTTCAGAATGTCAACCCGGTTATTTTGGAGTTAACTGCGTCTATGAATGCAGATATCCAAGTTATGGTGTCAATTGCCAGTTATTTTGTTTATGTGAAGAACAGTTCTGTGACAGGAAAACCGGATGCACACATATTTCAAGTAATAATACGATTACAATTACTTCCTTGATGAATGTTCTATTTGTAGAAATGCATCATTGAAACACATTTATCTCAATAAGGCTTATTATCAAGTATGAGAGAAAAAGATACTTTTATATATATATATATATATATATATATATATATATATATATATATATATATATATATATATATATATATATATATATAAAAAACACAACCAGACGTTAAAAAGAGAAAAATAGTAGAATGGTAAAACTTTTTATACTATTTATATATCTTTTTCAGCATATTACAAGAACACGACTGGAGAAACCACTACAGTGGCTCAAAATATGACAACCGTTAGGCACACATCATTTCAATCTACTTCTTCTAAGGTTAAAAGAGGCACACAGAGTATTACAAACTTCATATATTCTACCAGTAATCCGAATCAAAGATTCACCGCACCCACGCCATTTATGAATATAACAATCTTCAAATCTTACAATTCTTCTTCACATCCAACTGCCTCCTCGGATATTTTCAGTAATAAACGATTCCAAAGCAATTTAACTGATCAATTACTTATTAATGACCCGGTTTACCAAATTCTCGCGATAGGATTAATTGTATTTTTAACGGTAGCGGCTATTTATGCAATAAACAAATATCGGAAAAGAAGAGGACTTATTTCAAATGATATTTTAAGGAATCAAAATGTCCCTGTATATTACGAACCAATACAAGCACTTGCATATGATAAAAATTTAATTCAAATCTCTGTCCCTGAGTCAAGCACAATGTCCGAAAACGAAGATCAACAAACTGAGGCAAATCCGTACGAAACCATTGAAAACGATGAGGAAGATTCATTGAATTCAGAGTTAGACACACATCCTCTGCAGAAGGATCAGACATCATCATTTAGTTTGCCTAGATGTGTGCATCCTAGTAGAGAAATTGATGGAAACACTGACTCTGATGGTTATCAGTGCCCTGTTCCTCCTGAAAGAGGACGTGAAAGAAGACTACATGATGATAACAACGAATATTTAACAGTAGTTTAAATGGTTTCTACGAAAATATATACAGTGCACAGTTTTGTTCTCTTTTAAAACTATATTGTGCATGGTTTATAAATTAAAAGAAAACATTTTAATTTTTTTATACAATTGATTGAAGTGTCTTAACTTTACAAAGTAAGCAAACCTTCTCTTGGATAGAAGTATATGTATTTCCTCATTGGTTTCCTCCTTTTCCTTTCACACGAAAATCGTCTGAAAATATTAAAAACAAATTAATAAAACGACTTTTCATAATAAACCAAACAATTTTTTTATGATGTTAAGGAGTAAAGAATATTCTATTCTCACCTCTGAATCTATTGGAGATTTTTGGCAGCAGATATAAAACAATGCGCTCATTTGATTTAATCTTGTATGGAACAAAAAGTATGATTATTTTAGTTTCCTTGTATTATTAGATTGACGACATTCATCAATTATTTTTATTTTATAATTCCAGATTTTCCATATTTCAAGGGTAAATTTACAATAATATCTATTTCATAACTGTCATTATGCGGGCCCTTTGTGTTATCAATATGTACAGCATTTAAAGAATTAATAAAAATATACTTTAAGCATAATATATTTTACTTCCACGATTTATCATTTAATATTTTTTTTTAAATTAGAGAGTGAAATGGAAGAGGTTTTCGGAAATTTTGAAACACAAGCATTTTCATACCTTTAAAGTTTGCTTAATAATCAAATATATAAAGATTTAATTTTAGCTTTAAAAGTGATTCCTTAATTAAAAGTACTACATTTCAGCCATATCTCCGTGAATTGATATTTTACAAATTAATATTTAGATACACCTGTGTATCCATTTCCATTTTTTATTTTCAAAAGGCAATGTTTTTATTGAATGTTCTGTAGAACGATGTGTTACTTGTACCTATATGATGTTTATTTTTCTTTCTTCTCCTTCGTCTCCTTTTTGAACCTGAAAATTAAAAACCTTGATAAAATTGAAGACTTACAAGCTGATCTCAGGCAGATAAAAGTAGATGCTTCCATATTTGTCAATTTCTTTTCATTTTTGAATTGAATGTGTTTCTGTTGATCAAGATATTGAACAAGATTTTAATTGTATATGACGTCAGAAAGTATTCAGTTTGGTGTGGTTACTCACTGTAGGTATCTGGCATCCGAGCATAGCTTAAATATTAAAAACCAATACAATATTTAATGTTTCTGTTTTCATAAAAAAAGAATTTATGTGTTATGAATTATAATGTATTCACTAAAGTGTTGAGAAATCTTTGTAAAATTCTTACACATATAAAAATTTGAAAAACATGCTACCTTTCTGAAAGCGTATTTTCGCCCTTATCCGTTTCCATTCCATCTGAAGCAGCGGTGTCAATAAGGTTTTTTTTTTAAAAAAAGGAAGGGATATAAAAAGTTGTTTTCATTTGCAATAGCATGTTTTAGATATACCAAACATCGCGAGTTCCGATTTCCCTTTTCGGTCGTAGAATTTTTTGTTCAATCGGATGAGATCGTATAACCGAGGTTTAATGTCGCAGTAGGTGCTGGCATTATAAAGATTCCTAACTGTATGAACTGCGAACTGCTCAATTGTAATTATAAATGTTGAGTAGAAGTCTCCTTTAAAGGGCTCCTTGTTTTAGCAAGTCCTGACGTCTCAAAATGAGTGAAGATTTCTTGAAGTGTTGTTAAAAAAACTCTCTACTTAACAAAATAAACAAAAATTGTCCGCAGATTTTATGCATATTTAAGTCATACTTTTGATATATGTTGTATAATTAATCATATTGACAACATAATCAAAATTAATAAAAAGTTTAAGTCTTTTAAGAATCATCTGCTAAGGAAATATCAATAAAACATCAGTCTAAAATAAAAAAAAAATGATAGAGAGACAAGCTTAGCCGAATGTATATGACTTGAACTTCCACTAGAAAAAAGTATAAGAGAGCATTAAGCTAGTCTTTTACAATGTACATGATTGAGAAAATGATATTCCACGAATGTTCGTTACATGTATGTAAAGTAAAAGAGACAAAGTTATCAAAGATTGGAAACAAAGAAAGGTAACTCTTGATATTGTCATCTTACGAAATGACCATACCTGCTATATACATGTTTCGCTGGTGTTGTTCTGTACACAAATTCTGAGAAAGAGAGAGAGAGAAGTGTCATATACAATGTAATGCCTAGTCAACTTCTTGAAAATATATACAATTATTTCTAGGAAATGATTAAATCTAATGACTGTTTATAAAAATATCATGTAAATTTCATTTACAATATATCTCCGTTTAATTCTGATTGCATTGGCCTTGTTTATTAATGATTAACTTATCACCGGGTTGTATTTTGCCCGGCGTGTTTCGGAAAAATTAATAGGACTTTTATGCTAAAATTGACTGCGGGGTGTTCTGCCTTAAGGAAATTAACTAATTACATGTAATACAGAGGACCCAATGCGGGTGTGCCTGCTCAGCTGGAGATGTTTACGCATCCTTGCCTTTGGAATTTTTGAGGATCAAAGTTTTATGTGCTGATTGCAGTTTTGCTTGACCCACGGTCATTTGGGCAAGTTCAAGGTCACCAAAAAAGTTCATTTTTTGTTCGATCCATATTTTTCCTATGCAATGACTTGAATATACTTTGTTTTTATTATTTTTTTAGATTGATTACTGTATATTCTTCATCTTCGTAGTGTTTGTTCATCAAGTTTCGAAGTTACATAATAATAATTATATTTTACATCTTTTGTATATTGAATAAACTTAATGTATAGATACATGTAGTTTTCGATTGGCCTAAATTTAGCAAAAGTTACCTCCCGTTGGCCCCATATTGGAGGTCGACTCGGTGAGTTTTCCTCTTTGTCTTTTCAAGTTTAAGAAAATATAGCAGAATATTAGGTGGGAAATGTTTATTAAATAATTTTTTGTTAAATATATGAGGCTTTCAAAAATTTATATATTTCAGAAAAATAATGATTCCTAATTCAAAAAAGCAAATATTAAAATTTAAAATTGGTTGAAAAATGAAGGAATATGAGCATTTGGACCTCCAGTATGGCGGCCAATGGGATGCTTAATTTAGGTCCATGGAAATTTTCTATTTCCTTTTTGTTAATATGTATAGTTATTTTCATAACTAAAAGAGAAAAAAAGAAACCGAGAAAATCCATTTACTTTTCTATTATCATACTAGGTTTAAAAACCTGATACAAATGTCAGAATAAGCAAAATGTGCAAGTAAATGTTGTCGAACAACTACTGATCTTAGAAGGAAGAAGTCAGAGATTTTCTGCTTTTTTTTGTCTCATTATGATATATCATGAAAAAATTGCATTTTTTATGCTGACATATTCCAATCTTTATCATATATTAATCTAAGGCAGTCAACATCCTTACCCTTGCCATAGACCGCAATTGATGTTATGTCATCACTAGTCCTAGAAAGAAAGTTGATAAGAACATTAGAAATATCTTACTTGATAACCTTTTAAACACTTAGAGAAGAATACTAAATAGTTATTTTGTAATCTCTAACCGTTTTTCGTCAACTGTGTCCTCTTTGCTTGAAACCGCTGCACTAGCTGTAATGAATATAAATGATAATCATTTAGAAAACATTCAATTGCTTTAGACCCTTCCACTATATTCTTTTTTCTGATTGATGTCTATAGCTACATCACATTGATTTTTGTGGAGAGTCATTTATCAAAAACAGATACCATATCTTTTCTAAACATCCATTCCTTAACAAGAAGTTTATGATTTTACGATGAATACGTATTTACGTTATATTAATAGCAATGAAAATGTTTTGTAACTCACCATCTGATTGTTCATTAGACAAAGGTACAGCCTCTTTGCCATTAATCCGAGCTTGTTCTTGTGAATTTGGGTCTTTTAAAAAACGAACAACAGTAAAAACGTTTGTGTTAAATATTTATGATTTTTTTAAATAAAATAAAGTCTGCTTTTTCATATATTTTTTCAAGTTCATGATTTTTCATTTTTAAATAGTAACGCATTCTTTTTTCATGATTTAGAAATACAAAATTTCATGAAAATAACGATGATATTCCTGCTGAAGTCTCTATAATCAATAAAGACGAAGACAATGAAAACATATAATTATATTTCTGCATACCAGATGTTCTTCTTGACCACCAGAATATAACAGCGATCACTATACAGGAACCTATAGCAATTATAATTGATACTATCATCCATTCATTCTGTGAATCTGTTGAGCTGAAATAGGCATTTGATTGACATAATAATGAATGATATCCATAAAAGAAAACTCTTTCCTTTAAATTAAGTTCGTCCTTTTTCGTCATGTGCATAAATGATTCAAATTATAGCTTGGAGGATATAAAAATAGTTTTTTTTTTCTAAATATTTAGAAAATAAACATAGTTTTTATTTTTTATAATAAAATAAAAAAAAAATTAATTAACACTCACATTTGAAAGACTCGGAGGAATTGTATCTAGGTGGCAGGGGTCATCATCCGTTGTGTAGTCTTTCTTTACATCGTTGACAATTTTGCCAGTTTCTGTATCATAGTATCCGCAATATCCTGTTATCAAGTAAAATACATGTATTAACATTTTGCAATGATATTGTAATATGAAAGGCAATAGTATTAAAGTACCGATAGAATCCTGAAAAATGTTAGTAAGTCGGTATCCCATTACTCAGTATTTTGTAAAAATTGAAGAAAGCATCGTATTTCAGACTTGTTGTAATATACGTGTATCCCAAAACACGATATTCTAGAGGTCAAAGAGTATTAGAATGTTCTGCTCAAGTGTAAGTATTTTATTATTATCCTATCACCCTAGAATCTTGAATTGACGTTACAAGATAAGTATCTTCATACTCAAAGTATTTTTTCTCCTGTTGTACAGTATTTTATGGGATACGACTGTCTAAGTTTTTGGTATTTGTATCCAATCCTTTTGACATGTTGTCAATAAAATTTGTTCAAAATAAAACAGTATGACTTTTATGATCTACAATATCGTCTTACCTATATGAAAGTATACAAGATCGTATTTTTTTATGCTCTGTATCTTGTAATGATGTCAGACAATGATATACATGTACCATTCACTAAATTCAGTCATTATGTTCGATAGTTCCATGTCGTCTTACAGCATCTTGTTATCCATGAAAGACTGTTATAGTGCACATTTACATATATAATACAAAATCCTCGATTGGCTTGAGACACACGTCAGGTAATTATTTCAGAAAATGCCATACTACAATTGTACCTCAATATAGTAACATTACAATGTACATGACAATATTTCTTCGAAATTAATACATACTCATTCAAAAGACTGGACTTTTTAATAATATTAATTGCCATTCTTTATATATGAAAATACTTAGCATTAAAAATCACAATGTTCCTGCACGTTGAATTTTGTCAGTTATTTTATTTCATATATAATTTAAACAAATAACTCTCTATAAATGTTGTACCTTTCATAAAGAATTTAAGGAAGGAAAGTTATTGCACGTCATTCATAATAAGAAAAAAATTATGTTTTTTGTAGACCCCTCCTGTTGATATAATTTGTGGTATTACCTGTAAAAATCCATATTGGAGCACAAACTTCAACCTTCCCATTTCCCCACTGATTCACTAAACAATGGTATACGAACTTCTCAGGCTCAGGGACACATGTCTGTAGATTTGCAAGAACATCACACCTTTTCCTCTTGGCGGCATGCAGCCATCGCCCATGCTTCCTCTGTCATCGGACATTATTTCACTTCTTTTATAGTTGGAAATGACTCAATACATTGTCTAGGGCAGCATATCTCTATCTAGATTTTATATTATAAAAAATATTAATAACAGAAATATCATAGCTAAACATAAATGTCCGTTCTTTGTTAATTAAAGATACTACATACATACATTGATTTCTTTTCTTTCTCGCTTAGATTTAATTTTATGCGTCATTTATTTTGAGCAAAATTATTATTTTTTTTCTGAAACTTTATTTGTAATCCCTACAATGTATCATTTATTTTGATTAATTTTTATGCCTTATCATCGGTTAAGGTCAGACAACACGTTATACTCACAAATATATAATTTTTCCTAATAATTTGTCATTGTAGAATAGGTACTTACAATGTAAAAAAGATTCCTCACAAGAAATTAGGGTACCTTACCAGACATCTGGACAAGATACATGTACCACGGGGTGAATTTTATGAATGACCTATGTCACAATTTTTGGGTTTACTTATATTTAAAAACATTTGAAAACAATGTAGAAATCAGGAGAATGACAGAAATGAAAATTTTTTTAATACCAAAAGATACTTAACATATATTTAAGAACATGTAGTCTGACCTTAATATTTGTCGGACATTGAAATGATGTAAAATGACGATGTTTCTTCTCTTTAATTATAAACTTTCAATTTCTTTTGTTACCGTAATGGTGAACAATGCAACTGAAATCAAAGCTAGTTGATAGTGTGGAGTCATTCACGGGTTCCCCTATATTAGCCTGTAAACAATCATATTAAGTAGGTCACATTTGAATGCCAGTCAAAACACCCTGTCGGTGAATTTCTAGAATGAATATATATATACATGAAGATCTGTTGACAAGTTTTGTCAAAACTTCAACCACACTGAATATGTTATATATAATGCATACATGTATGTATGTTTCTATGGTTACACATGCATATATATGGATTATAGTGCCATTTAAGCCAAAAATGTTACACTGGGTGAAAAAAGTGGTTTCCCATCATGGGAAACTTTATGGAAACCACATGGAAACCTCAAGTTTACATCATGTTTCCCAGTGGTTTCCGCAGCGGATGCCAGGTTATTCCGCCAAGTTTCCGTGACACGGAAACCCCCTACGCTCCGATTCCATAAGGTATCCCGAACCACGGAAACCTCTGTAAACCTGAAGTTTCCCGAACATCCATGTAGTTTCCCGTAATGGGAAACCTAAAGATTCCACTGGTTTCCAGAATCAGGAAACTTGATGGAATCGGAGCGTAGGGGGTTTCCGTGAAATGGAAACCTGGTAGAATCTTTAGGTTTCCTTTTACGGGAAACTACATGGAAGCTCGGGAAACCTCACCATTCCTATAGTTTCCGTGACTCAGGAAACCATATGGAATCGGAGCGTAGTGGTTTCCGTGGGATGGAAACTTGGTGGAATCTTTAGGTTTCCTTTTTAAGGAAACTACATGGAAGCTTGGGAAACCTCATGATTCCTAAAGTTTCCGTGACTCAGGAAACCACAGGGAATCGGAGTGTAGTGGTTTCCGTGGAATGGAAACTTGATGGAATCTTAAGGTTTCCTATTACGGGAAACTACATGGAACCTCGTGAAACCTTACGATTCCTAAAGTTTCCTTGACTCGGGAAACTATATGGAACTTGTGTAGCAGTTTCTGTGTGGCGGAAACTTGGTGGAATTATCTGGAGTCCCATTCCTGGTTGAAGTTACTGGGAAACTTCAAGATTCCCCAACTTTTCTTAAGGAAGCGAAGTGAAATTATGTGTATTCTTTCAAAAATCTATCAAAAAAATTATTAAATGTAAGAGAAAAAAACCATTACCATTTTATATGTTTAATAATTCATTTGATGTACAAAAACTGTAACAGTATTTTTCAATGATATCAAAATACTAAATAAATTCATATTTCTTAGATAAACAATGGAACAGTCTTTCACATTTAAGTCCATTCATAAGCGTCATTAAGTACTTCTTTCAACATCAGTTCCCTGGTATTTCCTTCACATCACCTATGATCTGCAATATTCATACAAAATTATCATATGATGTGTCAGAATTATAATGCTTGAATATAACTTAGAAATCTGAAAGATCAGTCAATGTTCTTTAATATACCAATATCAATAATTACTTTCCATGACCATGATACATATGATTTTAGCATTTAATGTGTCTCTTTAAAATTTAATGCTTCATGATAAGGAAAAAATTTTTTACATAATATAAATAATGTTTTCAGCCTCATTATGTCATTGAGAATATATTACAATTTCATAGAACCCTGCTTTAAGTTGAATTAGTTTGAGAGAAAATATACTCTTTATAATAACAAAAATATTAATAGAGAGAGAGAGAATCTTTTTTAAATTTTTGATATTTGACCTAAAAAATTGGTTGAAGGTCACTGCAGACCCTCCACACCAATTGCATAGAAGCAAGATTACACCAAGGGAGAAATATACTCTGGACTACGACTTTGAATAAAGATATACAGTACATTTTGATACTGACCTTTGACCTAGAAAATTAGTCCAAGGTCACTCTTCATCCTCTATCCACAGGCTCTCTGTAGTTTAAGTTTGAGAGAGAAATATGCTCAGAACAAGTGATATCAGATGGCGTGATGGGTAGACACACTGTCTAAGGGCATCCACAGAACAGGTCTCTAAAAACAATGCAATATATATGTATTACAGTATAGATATACATGTACTTGTATGTTAATGATTTATCATATGCTGCATTGGACACATATGCTTTTATCATGGTGTAAGTATACATGTATCTTATGAGTAATTTTATGCCAGTATTGCATGTACACTCGGTTTATAAACAAATAATTAAAAATTTTTTTTTTACAAAAATTGACCAACATTATTTACATCCACTCATCATGTTCATGAATTGGTGGATCAAAATTCAGTCAGTTTTAGATCTCTATGATATACCATAGACAACTTTCACATTTACAAAAGTTATTCCCCTTTGCAGGGTCAATCTGGGGTCAATCGGCTTAAGACACTGTTTTCCCTCTATATAACCGTACCAACTTTGAGGGTCAATATCTTGGAAGTGAAATCTGTATGAAGATGTTCATTATGATATTCATGTTACCCCATACTCTGGCCATACAGATACAGATCGTAATTGTCCAATATCATTTAAAGATTGAAAAAATACAAGTAACTTACAAGTAACTTACAAAGGACAAAGTGAGAAAAATGAGCGATACACCGACAATTGGAGACAACTCTTAGCAATGTGAAATTTGTCTATTGGTGATGACAATTTCTGTTTTAATGTCACTGAAAAATTAAGAGACATTAAAAATTTAAGCCCTATTGTCATGCATGCATGCTGTTTTTTTTAAGTATTTTCAACCAAACTATAAATTACAATTGCTTTTAATTGAAAGATGGATCCATTACACATTGCACCCCATTACTTTGACAAAATGTAATGATTACAATGCATTACCATTACACATTACCATTACCCCAGGTCTGTTTTCAACCACATAACCTTTTACTATCATAAAATTTACCAAAATTTAATACTTCAAATAATTTCATTGAATACATGTATCTAAAAAATTGAGGAAACTCTAAAAACTTAGTGTCAGACTTACAGAAATTAATCTTTGGAGAGAAAAAAATCTATCATATAAAGATGTGCATAATGAGCCTTTTTTATTCATTTAGAACATATCGTATGTGCATCATTTCCCCAAGAAATTTTCAAAGACAATGGACTATTTGTGAGCAGAAATCATTGCTGTTTACTTAATACATTTGGAAAATTTATGAAAATAATCAAATAATTTCTTTATTTTTGATTTTAGATAATGCTAAAAATAATTTAATCTCTTACAAGTAATCCAACTGACTGTAAAATAAAATTTTTCTTAATCTCAATCTAAGGGCAGATCACTCTAACTGCATAAAACTACCCAATATCAAAGTAGAGCTCTTTAGTGTGCAGTTTTTAGAGCTTCCTTAAAGTCATCAAAATACTGACCAGCAAGAAATCAGTTAATAACATTTCCTCTTTTTCATTCAAATTTTTTGAGAGATCTCAAAGTTTTTTCCTCTTCAATTCAGGTTCGAGATGACAAAGTTTTACTGTAGTGTATGTATTAGAGAACTGATTGTATGTCAATCACGACAATACATACATAACATGGAGGGGGGCAAATTGTTTCAGCCCTAGCTTTTACATAAAACTTCTTGTAGCTCACAGCTGATAAACCACAGCTCAGTATTTAAAACTTAGAATCATTTTTTTTTTCAGGCAATTGTTATACATACCAATCATGATTTAATTACCACTTACCAAATGACCACATCCTGAATCATCATACATTTTATATGATTTTATCTCACTGGTTTTCTTTTAAAGTCATGCAGTTTTCTTCTCTCTGAAATGATAAATTATGTTAAGGTACTATTGCATTCTAATTTAAACTAATTATGTAATAGCATTAGCAACAACAGGGATGGGCAAAAAAAAAACAAAACAAGATGCGCTTGTAAAACACTATGTGCCCGGCGGCAACAAAGTTTCGAAAAAGCAATTTTTTTAGCATATAGGTCACAGTCAAGATCACATAATCATTGTCCTTGTTGTCACGTGAAAGCACTTCATAAGTGGAGTATGCATACTAAATATGATGTCACTATCTCATATAGTTCTAAAGTTATGGTGAAGGTTTAAGTTGACAACAGACAGACACTGAGATAAACAGTTATGGCAAAAGTTCGAAAAAGCTATTTTAACATATAATTACAGTCAAAGTCACAAGGTCATTGACCTTGTTGCATTTCAAAGAACTTAATTATCGTAGTATGCATACCAAATATGAAGTCTCTATCTCTCACAGTTCAAAAGTCATGGCAATGGTTCAAGTTGACAACAGACAGAAAGGAAAAATCAATACACGTGCCGAATCTATCAATTCAGGCGTATAAAAATTTCAAACAAATGAGCATCAACTAGTTTGTACCATTCTACTCCTCCTATGTCAGGACAACCATCACTAATTCACTATTTCATACAAGTCTTTTTTTCAAAATATTTAATCTAATGCAATAGCTCACCAGCAGAATATGATATTGTGCTCGACTCATTGTTTGCCTGCACCACAGTTATGTAGAATATAGCGTATGTTATAAACTTATAATTATATTCAGATATAAGAAGCATGTTATTTTTTATGACAGCTAAGTCTGTTCAGTTAGACAATACCATGTACACTGTACATATGTAAGTAGTTTAATTGTGCTTGATTATTTACTTATTTTCTTCTCAACTTAAAGCTGAACAAAACACGTAAACAGGCATACGCCATTTTCGATAGCATTATCTACGATACATCAATGCTAGGGTATACTCGTTGCAATCGTTACACCTGACTGCTTTATTGTCACGGGTATTGGCGTGGAATAGCAACCCGTGATCGTGCTGGTTATCTTGCATTACCTTTTTTTACATTTTATTGCAGTTACGTTTATCTGTGTTTTTTGTATATTTTACTGACTTATAAAACTATAATTGTTATAAACTTATTTGGTATCTTATTTTCCTGCATTAGATGAAGTATTACGTTATTACTCTCGCTACCGAGTTCTTCTGTATAGCGTACGTCCGTCTTCACCAGTGTAGACTGATTACACTGAACAGTGACCAACTGCTGCCCTATTTATAGCGGTCTGCAGAGAAGATAGACTCGGGAACAAAAATGGCGGACATTTTATTTTATTACCAAGTTTGTAATAAGCATTTTGAAACATACTATCAATATTAATTCACTATGAAGGCTTAATTTTCTTTTTTTACATCTTCATCTCAGCAGGTTAGACAGTACAAAAAAATCTTTTGAGCAGTAAACTATTTCAATAAACAAACCTATTCTCTTCAGAGAAGTGGACAGGCTTTCACCTACATTCACTTTTTTATGTATATTTTCCCTCCATATCATCATCATGCATATGATTAAGGGTTATGCTACAGTATTGGCTACAATTAATCTATTCCAACTGTTCTGAATGATGATATCCTTCATGATAATCGGATAAGCTGAGATTGAAGACACTTTTTGTAAAAATATTGATGCTTTTATCAAGGTTTTGAACCAAAAGTATTTCATTCATACCTTGCCATAAGTCATAAGTTCCAAAAATCAAAAGAGTTGGCTATCCGAAAACGGAAAGTCAGAAGAAAACACATGTATACATGTATTCAAACCGGATGTACTACAGTCTGAATTTAACTACGAAACCATGCTCGGTATAACTATTATCATCCGGATAATTTGAGCGGGGTTAAAAATATATTTTTGTTTAAATCCGAAAAGTATTCATTTATATTTAGAGAGAGAACATACATATTGAGCATACATTTTAATAAACATGGTGAAAGGCGAAACGTTGCCATTTTACAACATACGGTGCCTTGGGACCTCTATAATCTATTTAAGTTATGTTGTATCACTGTCTCAAATCTCTCTCTCTCTCTCTCTTGCAATATACGCACTTAACAATTTAAAACTTAGATATCCAACTTTTTAAAATGGCGTCAGAACAAAAGTTGCCTCCGATAGTGAAGATTTGTTGTTGCCAAATATTACAATTATTCGCCGTAAAAAGTTAACAAAAATATACGTACATTAATCCTTGGTCGTTGGTCATTGCATTTATCACAGTCTTAAAGACACTGGGTGGTGAAAACATCAACTTTTCACATTTACGAGCTGCTTACACCTTCTTCTTCGTCCTTCTCGATCCTCCAAAAATGGCGCCTCAGGAAATTGACCAATGAAATAAAGCGCCTGCAGAGCGATGCAGGATGGGAAAATAAACTGTTTACATTCACTATGATTATGTGTGATTATGAGATTTTATATTAGAATTTAGAAGTTTTCCCCTGTTCATGGAAGAAAAAAAAGGGGCTCCTATTAAAATATTTTTTGTCGATATGATGTGTAGGCCTAGTATATTTAGATAAAAAGCGGTTAAATACGTGAGAGCAGAGAAAAATTATGTTTCTTGCGTGACACCTCAACTTATTTGCCTTCGGGATGAGGGGTTCGGGGCTTGGTTGTTGGTAGTGGCCGTCCTAGCTGAAAGTACCCCCCCCCCACCTCCCCGCTACTTTTAACTGTTATAATTATGAACTTATAATGTCACACCAAAAGATGTTAAACCTTTAAAGGTACATTTTTTTTTAATTGCGAACGTTCCACAGGAATCCTTAAAGGCATGAAAATGAGTTACAATTATAATACATGTATAATTAACAATAACCGTCCTTATTTTTTTTTTTTATTTCAATAGTGATGATTGAAAAGTTCGGTGTCTAATAATTAATTGCTTATAATTTTTGGGGGGATTAAAATACTACTAGAACTCCCTCCTTTTCTGGTTTTAATTAGATTTTGAGCCTGCTATCAATATAATACTGTATTATTACTGGTGGACCTTCTAGACGTTTCTCTATTTGCTATATGTAGGCCTAAATTGTACTTGAAACTTCTTTGCCTTTAGCTAATAACTTTCCCATATCATTTTAACACGTAAAATTGTTAAATGAATTAGGATGTTGAAAATCTTTTTCTTAGGAGAGTTACATGTATCTCAAGATGGAATAAAACTTACATCTAATCAAAGGCAAGAAAATATAATAGTATTTTAATTCAGTATTTAGTCGTGATGGGTATAAGTGAGGTCATGGGGAAAATTATGTCAAAAGTCATCTAGATACTCGTTGATGTACAGGGCTGTACTTATGCATATACAGCTTTAGCTGGTCCCGCCCTGTATTTCTTTTAATGTTTTTTTTTCGTTAAGAAATCTGGTAAGGTATGCTAGTAAAAAAAAAATCCCGGTAAGTTTATTACCCTAACGGAAATTACTTTCTTACAGGCCTGAAGTTCGAGTCTATTAGTCAAATTTAAGAATGTCACGCATCTTTTTTTAAAAAGAGTAGCATGTCGGGGAATAAAAATAAAGTAATGTACAATTTAGATAAAGAAAATTAATGTTTGTTGAAGTATTGACAAACTTCATACCTTTATATAATGAAATCAACAAAAACTGCACAAAAATACAATCGTGACAATTATACAATTAATTCTTTTAATAGATTGCCTTAAGTTAGCATCCACTACTTTAAAGCCGTTGTTCTGCAGGAAAACAAAATGATGCAAAATATTATAGACTTTTCTTTATCTAGAGAAATGGCCTTTAGAGAAAAGAATGGCTGAAATTTTTAAAGTTTGTTAAATATATGTGCATGATCATAATTATGTGCATTTAGGACCCTACATTGTAATTTTATGCGAAAAGTGTAGACGTTTACTACACGGGGATCTGCGTACATATAAACAAAAAAGGAAAAAAAAGTTTTATGTAATGAATATTATAACATTATTTAATAAATGCCTTTGTATAGTACGTTGGATTACAAATTTCACACAAAAACTCATCAAGACTATTAAATACAGTGTTGATTTCACTATGATGTATTAACTAATTCTGATTTAATATAATTATACACGACGAGAATTTAGATCTAATCATTACCTATAGAAAATTATTTAATTTCTAAAGAGCATAGTTTTTTCAAATCAGTAATGAAAATTGAAATAAATATTCTAAATAGTTCGTTCTTTCATTGAACATCTTAAAATAAATGTATGTTATTTTATAAATATGTTCTCTTGTATAACTTTATTTATGAAATATACAATTTTTTAATTGATAAAAAAAAACACAAATCGTCATCTTAATTCAAACGAATTTTCGGTCGGAGGCTGTGTGTGTACATGCTCGACAACAGCCCATTGTTCCCTTTAGGTAGAAAACCGTCTCAATTCACATAGAATATACAAAAAATACACAGTGACAGGTGTCTTCGCGGCACGTGTCTCCACCTGATATGGCACGTGAGGACAGGTGCCCGTAGTTATTACACAGGCCGACTATAGTGATTTTTTCAAGTGTGGTTTTATTTATTTTTTTTTTTGAAGGGGGGGGGGGAGGGGCTTCTCTAGGAAAAAATGAAAAGCAATCCACCCATCCCCAATAATAATAATAATTTATTAAATTAAAAAAAACAATCTTACTAAAGTAAAATACTAGTATGATAATACTCAGCCCCCAACCAATTCGATGGATTTTATCTGACCAGTTTACATTGATCTCTATGTAACCATACTTACTCTTCTATATTTTGTTTTTTTAAAGGTCAGACGATACGTTTCCCATTAAGTATCTGTTTTGTGAATCTTCATATTAATGTATAATAAATTTGTATAAAAATCTTTATTACTTTCTAAACTGGTTTTTAATAATTTGAAACACTAAAAATGTAATTGTGACAAACCAACTGAAGAATTTTTTCCTGAAGGATTACCCCGGTATATAAGAGATGCCAACCTCTGGTATCTCACACAAAATGCCTTGTAAGGTACCTTGAGTTTTTGTGAATACATGTTATAATGTAAAAAAAAAAAGTAAGTCTTCAATGTCAAAATATTGGAAAAAATTATAATTATATTATTGAGGAACGTCTCATCTGTCCTTAATCACTACATTTTATACAATCGCAACTTGACATATTTCTTTATTTACTTTTTTATCGATCTTTTTACCTTTTCTGTAAATAATATCATTAAAGGTGCCCTTCGCTCTTGCATTTTTTTCAAAGGAACATTCAACATAGACAGCTTACAAGAAAGTGGGATCGGAAATGATTGATATCTACATAACTGCACTTAATTTTCTCTATTCCATTTCATGCATTCTATACGAGTTTACCAAAACTTATTTGATAAATTTTTAATATTAAATTGCGTTCACGGTGCTGAAATATTAAATTTTATCACGCAGAAATACACATCTAGTTATTTTAACTGTTTGAAGGGAAGTTAATTATTTTGATACAGCATGTAAACACTTTTGAAATATTTCTATAATTGGTAAGCATATGGTAACATCAGAAAATATAAAAACTTTTTGTAAAATAAAAAGTAGGTGGGTTAGCATTGAGATATACTTTCAAAGTTTCTCTACCTGGGAAACATGGGGGAAACTACACATTAGTGGCTTCCATGTCGGGAATCTATATGGAAACCACTGAGGCATGTTTCCATGGTTTCCTATCTTGGGAAACTAACGGGAAACCACAGGTTGGTTGTTTCCATGTCGGGAATCTACATGGAAACCACCAGGGCATGTTTCCATGGTTTCCTATCTTGGGAAACTAACGGGAAACCACAGGTTGGTTGTTTCCATGTCGGGAATCTACATGGAAACCACCAGGGAATGTTTCCATGGTTTCCTATCTTGGGAAACGTACGGGAAACCACAGGTTGATTGTTTCCATGTCGGGAATCTACATGGAAACCACTATGTGGTTTCCATAAAATGGAAACTATATGGAAACTACTGATGTCACGATTCCCATATGTTTCCATCGGGTTTCCAAATTTGGGAAACCTGGCTTTTCATCCTGTGTTACTTATCTATACACTGTAGAAAATCAAAGGAAGCGCCTGAACTCGTGTTTAAATATGCCGAATTTATTTGTAATCCCCGCTTAAGAAGTTCAACTAAAAATTATGCTCATCGGCAGTTACATTTTTTCAACATTTTTTTATGGGGCCGCATCTGCAATCACTCTTCTTCACTTGTCTCTGGCTAGCGCTGATTTTGACACTACACTGTACATATAAGTCTTAGTCTTAAAGATCAAGTGCATTACAAAAACACAGATAACTGCGGATAAGCTTAAAGATTTCCGGAACCTACCGACAAGTACTCAATTTAACTAGTACATCGTATATATGAGACAGATAAGAAATGGGTCAGATAATAATTTTTCTTTCTTTTTTAAGTGATGTATCGTTTTGTCATACGTTAATTTTGATTTAAAATATACATGTAGATAAACTGAGCATGTAGGAGTGATAATTTTTAAAGATATCTAAAACGTGCAATACACTAAAATTTTCAATACATATATGCATGAATAAGATTTAAATTAGATATGCATGAAATTAAAACATGACCGTAGAAGCATAGAGAAGGGGAAATGGTGGAAGGATGAAAATCAAATTAAAAGAAATTTATTTAATTGCATTGAATGGGGGGAATATACATTAAAACAAGATGTGTTTGTGAAACACTATGCGCCCGGCGGAAACAAAGTTCCAATATACTTTTTAGCATACAGGTTACAGTCAAGGACGCAAGGTCATTGATCTGAATTTCGTTTGAAAGAAGTTTATTAGTGAAGTATGCATACCAAATATGAAGTCTCCATCTCCTATGGTTCAAAAGTTATGGTGAAAGTTCGAAAAACTATTTTAAGCATAAAGTTTGCAGTCAAGGTCACGAGGACATTGACTTTGGAATTTTGTAAAGAACTTTATTAGTGGAGTATGGATACAAAAAATGAAGGGTGTATCTCCTATGGTTC